ATCGATAAAAAACAAATGCCATAATGCTGCAAAACTGTTGCTTTTAAATCGATATTTTTATTTACGCAACGATGACAAATATTTGTACCTGAAAGTGTCTGAAATAGAATTGAGAATAGATTATTGTCCCTAAACAATATTATATACTAGTACTAATTCAGCGAAATGGACGCCACACTAAACTCCGATACATATAAATAAGCTAAAATAAAATTAAAAAAAAAGCAACACAAGACTAACAAAGGCTAGAGGTTCCTGACTTGGGAAAGTCGCATAAATGCGGCGGGGTTAAACATTAAACATGTTTTGTGAGATCTTAGCCCCCCTTTTCCCCTATATACCTCTAGTCAACGTGGAATAAACAAACACAAAGCAATACGCACAGTAAAACTTAGTTTAAAATAAGTCCGAGTTTTTATATTTATACCCAAAGACACAATGATATATATACATATATATATATGTGTTACCTACGGAGCAGTCACAGCTCAACCGAATGAAACCCCCGAATCTGGAATTGTTGGCGTCGCTGCGTTGACAAGATTTAATTTTCTGTGTATAATTTTTTTGACCGTTGTTTGATCTGTTCAACATTTTTTTTTCTTTTGATCGTGATGTTATCTTAATTTTGTCCACTTGTGTTGGTTTTTTTTGCTCCCTGAAGTGGTATCATCTTCGTATTCACTGATGCTATATACGTAAACCAGTAAATTCTACAATATCGTCAGTGTTAGACAAACAATTTTTAGTCCATGATATCAATGCATGAACTGTTTCATAGTCCCTCTTGAAATAACATTACTGTTATTCAATTTAAAATTTCGACCTGATATTACACAAGAAAAAAAGGAGAATATTAAAAAAGGGGGGGGGGCAATAAAATACCACAAGTCGAAGAAAAATAGACAACACCGCGGCCAAAACGATAAACGACGAGACAACACCACGGCCATACGATAAACGACGAAAGACAAACAACAGTTAAAGAACATAACTGTAACACATAATAATATAAATTAAGCAAGATGAAATACTGATATGAATTCGGATGCTCCGTAAGAGTAAACAGTTCCTGTTAAACTAGTTGTTCTTTGTAAGTTACAATTTGGCGTAAAGTCAATTTTAAAAGTTATCGTGATATGACTTACTTACCAAACACATTATTGATTATGAGTTAGCTTTTCTGTTTTGCCACAAGTAAATTTAAGTCAAAGGCATCACTGTGACTTTGAGATGAAGAACATCACAGAAAGCGCTGTTCCTCTGCTTGTGTGTATTTTGCTGTGAATGTACTAATTTAGTGTCATGGATGGATATCCCATATCCTTTGTTTTTCTATTATGGTCAATAATAATGTATAGATGAAATTAAAGCCATTTCAAACTTTATTCATTTTCATAAGAAGATATACAGAAAACTATGCAATATATAGGAAAGTATCAATCTAGAAGGCAAAACGATGTGGTACGATTTCCAATGAGAAAAATTATCCAACAAAAGATGAAAGAGTGAACAGAAACAGATTAACGTGCAGTACATACAAGTAGTTCAATTAGAATCAGTCTTGGTGCGGATTGTACAAAGGCAATGCTGATAATTTGTGGGTGTTTAACCTTATCCGAATAATTCAGCCACTATATTGCTCCGACGATTGCTCCTTCAGAGACGATAGTGAATAGAGGGAACTGAACTATTCAAGTTAGTAAATCCCCATAATGTCTTACCATTAACTGCAGAATCTTGCTTTTGACAAACAAATTGTGCGTGATTGATAAACTTGCACTTGAGTGCACAAGCCTCTAGCACAGTGAATGATATAATTGTGTACCATTCTTATGTAAATTCAAGGTTTGTAAAGTCTTGGTATATAGTATGAGATTTTGACTCTAAAAAACTCCATATATGTACAATGAGCAAAGTTCATTTAGCATGAGAAATCTAAAAAAATCAGTCTTTTACAAACAAAGTATAAATGGTATAAAATGAGACATTTCGTCTCCTTTTGCATTCGTAGAAAAGGAAACTCATATGTTTTGCTAATGGAAACCCTCACAATCTACATGATCAAGATATAAATATGTCTGAGGCAGTACTATCAAGTTTCGTTGCATCCCAATTAGTGTTAATGCAGAACGTTTTCTGATACAAACAATTCCCAAAAAATTAAAAATTATAAGCTCAATGTTTTGCTATGAGAGACTCCAAACAATTTTTGATCATAATTTAAAAAAATTGCAAAACTAAAATTTGGTCTGATTCTATAAAGATTCATCCCATTTCCTATGTAAAGTTTAAGAGACAAACGTTCTCGTGTGTAGAAATAACAAGAGTGCACACGCTGAAATGTCTCGCCTGCTTTAAAGACCATGATTGATTTTATGTTGATAGTCGTAAAGTTAAATTTCACTACATATGTCACATAAGCTTAACGTTACCAGTGATCCCTGACAATGAGTTCAAGGTCATATTAACCAATCCCGACTGACATGTACACCTAATAATCATTCCATGCACTCACTATATTTAAATTTTTGAAACAGATCAAAACAAAAACAGTTTATAATGACCAATGAAACATGAAAATAAATTCAAGGTTTGATGATATCTGCCAAAAAGATTAAACACCTTACAATCATTCCATACACAAAATTTAGTTGACCTACTGCTTAAATTATTTGAAAAACAAACCAAAATCATTGACCAATGAACCATGAAAATGAGAAGGTAGATGAACCCTGCAAGACGAACATGCACACCATATGATAATTCCAAACCACATATAGGTGAGTTATTGCTTATAGTGTATGAGAAATGGACCTTATCACGTAACCTTGATCATTAATCCATGAAATGAGGTCGAAGTCATGTGAATCCTGTCTGACGGGCATGAAGACTTTGCATGCAAGACACCCATATACCAAATATAGTTATCCTACTACTCAAAATAAGTGATGAATTAACACGATAAACTGTTGACACAGAGATATGTCTCGCGTTTTGTAATTTTGATGGAATAATGCAAACGTTGAAATTAAAATGGCAATATTTTAACATATAAACTATGCAAATCAGTCAAATTCAATGAACCATGACTAAAGGTTTAGGGACAAATAGCCTCCATTGAAATGTGGAATGCCAATGCTTATCATACTGCATACCAAATACCTTTGACTTATCATATGTAGTTCCCTCTTAACTAACATAAACACAATCTTTAACTTGTAATCTATGTAAAAGTTTCAAGGTCAATGAACAATGATGAGAAGGCGGGGCCATATCATCTCCATGGAAATGAGACTTGCAAATTTCAATAGAACTGCATACCAAATATCATTGACTTAACATAAGTCGTTCATCTTCAACTGATCTAATCACAAACTTTAACATGTAAATAATGCAAAACATTTAGTCAATAAACCATTACTGAAGAGGAAGCCAAACAATCTCAATGGAAATGAGATATGCCGATGCTAATATATCTGCATCCCAAATATTATTAACCTACCACTAATGGTTCCTCTTGAACTGACATAATCACAAAGTAATGCATGTAGTTATTCCTTTCCACGTTAAATTGTTCACTTCCAAACATTTTATTGGGCGGGATTAATATACCGTTATTTACACATCAGACCATACTGGTTACTGGAATTTTGGATACAACAAACCAGGTACTTCAAATCTGGGAAACAGGCAATATATGCCCTCAATTTTAGAATTCATCCATATATTTAAATTATTTATATATTATTCAATATATGTTCTACAAGGATCACCAATCCCTCACCTTTCTTTGATACCTTAATAACTAAAATATATTCTACATAGTTTTAAATTTACACCTATGCGTAGGAAGTATTTTGATTTAAATGTGTACTACTTTTCAGTATGTTCTTTTTTGACCGGGCTCTATTTGGTGGTGATACATCTTACAAAGTCTATCCTAATCATTTTGCAAAGAATTCCCCTCAAACCGGTGCTAGGGGCCATCTTAATCGTGCAGTGAGGTGAGAATATTTTTTGCTTCGTGTTGAGGGCCTCACTGTAACTTTGTGATGAAGAACAGCAATACAAGTGCTGTTCCTTTGCTATTTGTGCATTTTTTACTGTCCATGTACTGATTTTGTGTCATGGATGGACATCCCATATCCGTTTTTCTATAAAACTAAGCAAAAGTTTCAAAGTCAATAGACCATGACTGAGGGGGCGGGGCCAAACAATTTCCATGGAAATTAAATATGCCAATGGTAATACTACTGAATACCAAATATCATTGACCTGCCACTAGTGATTCCCCATAAACTTGACCTTATCACTAGCTAGTACATTGTTGACTTGACACCCCAGCTGATGGAAACAGCATGCCTTAGTCTCGCCTTTTTAACTTCATTGATGCAAAACAAAAAAATAAATGTTTTTAACAGATGCTGAACAATGAAAATGAGGTCAAGGACAATGGACATTATGACACACGGAAACTTTGTCATATAAGGCATCTGTATACAAGGTATGAAGTCTCCATGTTTACTACACTCTGAAATATAACGCTTTATACAAATAGTTTACGGCGCCGAAGCTGAAGGATTGCAATCAGTATGTCACACCAAAATAGATCTGATCAATGAAATAGAAGGTGCACAACTACATATGGTATAGAGTTTTAAGTCAACTTTGGTTCTGTTCCAAGATTTTATATTTTTCATGTGTAGAAAAAAACAGGTTTGGCTATTGAAACTACAAAAATCTACCCGACAAAATAAAATCATAAAAGTGTTCAGCTGCATATATATGACATATATGATTATAACAACTTTCTAAAAAGTTTATTCCAACTATAGGACATTTTACATTGACTAAATCGGTAGAGAACAGACTATTGAGTAGATGGACAAGACTTAAATAATGTATCTTCTCAAACACATATGCCGGAGGAGACATAACTGAACCATGAGATGCCACACAAAAACAAACATATATACATATATGCAAACAAACAAAAAAACAATTACTTTACTTTATTCAATAAAGCCTTTATTTTAATAACTATATTTAAAAGCTGTGTTTTATAATTAAAATATAATATCATTAACCTGAACAATACTGACTAGTACAATTTTCATAACAAGACAGTGCAGCAGAAAAGTTTTACACATTAGATGTTCATGACGATATATATGTTTAATACAACTAACAAACATATAGAAAAGCTTTTGTATAGCTTAAAAGTTGTTTTACCTTACAAACATATGTATCAGTTTTGTAAAAAAAATATCTATTGTCTAAAAAATATTCTAAAGTCATTTGTGCTGTCTATTCTGACATAGGATGTCAATATAAAGATATCTGATATTTTTTGCTTAAATATCATATTGGCAACATCCTTGTTGTATGAAAGAGATGTATATCAACAATTTTGTAAATAAGACATTTTGCAGCAAATTACATTTTTTTGTAAAGCTCATATTCATACATTAAGGATAAGATTTTCAAATATTTTCCTTAAATGCCAGAAGTTCAAAGGTCTTATGCAAATATGTAAGATACAATGTAAAATACAATATAAAAAAAATATAAACTGATATATTAAAGACTAATCTATCCTCAATATCTGAAGAAATATTTTGATACATTTATCCTACTGGTTGATTTTCAATTCAAGGGGACTTTTCATACCTTCTCTCAAACAAAACTTTGACATGTTGTACACAAGAAAAATAAACACAAAATAAAACATGTTAACAAAACTAAAAAAACAAACCAAAGGAGTTTGTTAATAATAAAAGCACTTCAATAAGAAAATCTTCATCATTTAATACAAAAAAAAATTCATTACACTTTATATAACAATAATAAAGGCCATTATTTATCTACTACATGGTTTAAAGATCAGACTTTTATCACAAATTTGAAGGAATGAAGTTTAACAACATTTCAAGAGAAATATTTGCCAAAATGTGTCTAAAACAAGCATCTTTTCTTTCAAAATTTTGATTGAAGCAGAGTGGTTTGGAATTAGTCCAATGTCTTGGTTTCAATGATGGAAATCACTGGGAATAACATTTTTTAGTATAAAATATGTGTTGAAGCAATGCTGACAAAGTTCTCCAGATTTGCTGGCATACCAAAAATAGGTTTCAGTTGCAAAACAGGATTATTTTTTGTTGTTTTAAAGCAGAATTTAATAGTAAATTTTAGAGACCCTTTTCTGGTTTCAATATAATAAAGATTGGTATGAGGAGTTTTCTAACAGCTATGGTCAGAAAGCATGTATTACCCTGGAAGTTAGTCTTCTAATAACTGAATATAAGAGATTAATTCAATATATATTCTATATATGATAACATGTTTCTTTATATTTAGACATTACAAATTAAGAATTTTACAATGCAAAAGTGTTTGCATAATTAGGTCCGACTGCATTTTTTTCTACAGAAACATTCAAACATTTTTCTATTTAAAATCTTTTAAACAATTCATAAACATTAATGGTATTTCAAGTTTTGAAGAAATCTGTTAAATTGCAAATCCTCATCTCTAAAAATTCAGATAAGTACAAATCAGAAGGAAAAAATACATTTAATCTTATTAATCAATAACAAATTTACATCAATAAAAAAGATATGAGGTTTACATGAGGGTGTGGATTGGGATAACAGAATAGAGAATAATCAGCAAAAATATAAAGAATAGAGAAAAATGGACAAAAAAAATAGAGAATAGAGAATAATGAGGTGCTAAAATATAAAGAATAGAGAATAAAGGGCAAAAAGTATAAAGAATAGACAAAAAACGCCTAAAAAAATAAAGAATACTGAAATGAAGTACCCCATCTAGACCCTCTTACATCAATGAGACAGCAACAGAACAACCTAAAACATTGTTTTATTTCATCTATCATTAACAAAAATAACTAAAAATCATCCAAAAACAGAAGGAAGGTCATATTAAGGATAGACTAATATATGTATATATATATAAATATGTAAATAAAACAAAATCAATCATGAATTGCAACTACCTTTAATACAACTTATAAATTAAATCATTAATAGATAATACTGGGGAAGAACATAAAACTACTATAAAAAAACCCTAAAAGGTGACAATTACAAAAATCATTTGTACAGCCATTTATATACATTTTTAATGTTGAATTTATCCAAAATAAGGATGGAATGCATTGTGCATTATTGAAGAAAATTAAACAGTTTGGGTCAACCTCTAATTCTCTTCTTCTTTTAAAGCAAGCTGAAACATTACTCCATTTTGTCTTTTTCAAATAAAGTCCTATTTAATGCTAGGCTCTTGTCTCATGAACTTTTTATTTGACCCTACCTAATTAAATTTTTGATCTATGTTACTTCCAGCTTCTTACAACCAATAATTAACAATAAAGTTATACACTTAATGGTAGTGTAATGAGAATTCAAATATATACATATTATGGTGTAAATATATTTGGTACTATAATTGTTGGTTAATAGAAAAAAATATTATGGCACATGGTTTTGCAGTAGATCATTGATGTAGGTTTAAATTATTTGTTTACAAGATGAAAACATAGTAATCTGTTAGTTCTTGTGAGAATTTTGTCACACATATAATATAGTAACTCTGTTATGAGGATTAATACCAATTTATGATAATATTAATGAAAGTACAATAATTGATGAATTAAGTACATGAAATATAAAATATTATTATTTACTTGAGAAAAATATGAAATTCATGTAAATATCAATCAGAAAAATTGTGATCAAACAAACTGACAACACCAATAGTTGCTGACATCAACATCATTTGGTCTCTGGTAGATAGAATTCAGGATTCAGAATTAGAAAATCAATTTTACATGATTTTAATATTTTAAAAAACATGTACACATAGCAAAAAGTACTACTAAATGTATTTCAATGTTTTTGTCATTTTGAGCATTATCACAGATACTTTGTATTTTGATTTTAACTTTTTAGAAACGTTTACATTGTAAATATCTTTTAAGAATTATCTCCTTTAGCTCACTTTTCTCTTGAGTAACAATTAAGTGAACGTTTGTGTTAAATATGCATGAATAACGATGGTACCACATAGAAATAATTTCTTTCTCTACACAATCACAACATACCTTCTTGAGCAAATTTTCTGAAGCAGTTTTAAAGGTCATTTTTTCTTTCATCATTTTCTCAATAATCAATAATTTATTACAAATCTAATTTTTCATCAAAATTACATAAACCAGGCTTCTGAATAAAGTTCAAAATATAAAACTTAATTAATCGTAGCAATAGCTAGATCAAGGGTTCAAATTTTTATTGGCAGCAAAAATTCCTTGGTTATTGACTATGATTTCATCAGGACGTACATTTATTTACAGAAAACAAAACAATCAATTACTTTTGACTACTGTAAATTCAGAAATTAATGTGAGGTTTTTATTAATGCGAATAATGCGAGTGGATGAAGATCGCAATAATAAGAACTCGCATTCTGATATCTAATACTTATATCTGTATGCAGATTTTCCTGAAATCGCAATAATTAATCTGGCATTTTAGTCCATTCTTCAAAAATCGCAATAATAAATGCACGCAATAATTTCTGAATTTACAGTAGTTGGGAAAGCCTCTGTGTTAATAAATTATTGTACAGTGCAGAGCATTATGCCTCCGTATCCTGTGGATCTGAGCTGAAACTGCCAGAAATTTGGAATTGTAAATTGAAAATTACTGTTGTTTAAAACATGCTACTTAACATTATAAATTCAAGGGACTTTCATGGATTTCTACCATACTCATAAACTTCAAACACATTTCTAGCACTGAAATGAACTGACTTATTAGTTCTAGGATATTTTCAGTTATAAGATTGAGTTATACCACTGTAGATCAATTGAAATAAATCATGAAATATGAAATTAATTTACATCATTGGATGTGCAGGGGTGGATCCAGCCATTTTTAAAAGGGGGAGTTCCCAACCCAAGATAAAGGGGGGGTTCCAATCATATGTCCCCATTCAAATGCATTGATCGTTAAAAAAAAGGGGGGGTTCCAACCCCAAGAACCCCCCCCCAACCCCGGATACGCCACTGATGTGTATTCTTAGCAAAATACGTCAACAAAAATAAAACAATATCATTTGTTATTTGATTATTGCAATTTCATGCACCAAACATTATAAAAAAATAGTTTCAAATAATACATGTCTTAAAATTCATAGAAATTTATAATTAAAGTAGGAACAATAGAAGAAGCCTGATAGGGGAGGTAACCTATCTTAAGGGCATACGATACAGTTTTGATCCCACGGTAATTTTTTTACAAAAAAATTTGCATACAAGCTATTTTTCGTTTTGTTAATTCAAATATGTCATAAAAAATATACCTTCATGTGCTAAATGTAGAGATAAATGGGGTCAAAATTTTAGACATTTACTTAAAATTTCTGTTTCTTGGACATTTCTATCCTTTAGACAGACATACTTAACTTTTTTCTTTCAAAAGAAAAACACATGCCAATTTTTGTAAAAAGATTTGGAATATCTGCTTTACAGAAGTATGCTTTTAAATTGTCTAACAATTCTTTAAAAAGATAATTCATTTTTATTAAAATTTCAAGATTTTGGTAAAAAATGGCATTTTCTGCTGCATATTTATCTAATTTAAAAAAAAATCATCAGTGATTTTTTCATAAAAATTGGAACAAATAATCTTCATACAGTATCAAGTCAAATTTCCTTTTAAAAAAGAGTGGTCCATGTACTCGTTTTCAAGTTAATGATTAAAATCACTTGAAAAATGCATCTTTTCCAGATATGTCGATGTTTGACGTCGGGAAATACAACATATTACATTAGCAACATCATTACCTCCCCTGTAACTGTATAGCATGCCCTTAAGAGGTGCTTATAAAAGAGCAATAACTTATCAAAGCAAAATTAATCACTAATTTGAGTAAAAATACCACTATAAAAATAATATTGCCTAATTCTATGACTTACTTATCACAGACTAAGCTTTATTTTAAGAATGAACAATTACAGGTGTCATTTGTGAGTTTTTGTGTTTTTTGGTAGTAATTTCCAGCAGTGTCTCCTTGGAGGGTGAATTTGTATCTGAATGACATCTACTCTCAACATTTATAATGGTCCCAACATTTATCGGAGGAAGTATTGTTTTCCTATTTTTAGGTGTGGGAAAATCCAGAGAACAATTATTCTCATGGAAGTCATTTTGATCATGAAATATGTCTGCCTTGTCGTCTTTTCTTTCTATCGATGAATCTGTCACCTCATCTGAAGGTGAAATTGTTGACAGTTCTTGTTGAATGTTGGACAGTGCTGCAACTCCCATAGATATTTCTTCTTTCCTTTCTGTATAAGATTTTGCTTCAACTGGAGCAGCATTTCTTCTGTTATTCTGAAAAAAAAAAAAGAACAGCTTTTCTGCATAATTATACTGAAAAATATTAGCAATTAATAAAATTGTGAACCATTTAGCAAACAAAAATAATTCCTATTCATTTTTCAATATCATTATTCAAATATTCTATAAGGACACAACTTTATAAATTTAGTGCGTCCAAAGCGTTTTATTTAATCTATCTTCTTCAAGAACACTAAAACTCCAAAAATTGAAATCCAAGGAAGGATATATAAAATTGAGAATGGAAATGGGGAATGTGTCAAAGAGACAACAACCCGACCATAGAACAGACAACAGCAGAAGGTCACCAACAGGTCTTCAATGCAGCGAGAAATTCCCGCACCCGGAGGCGTCCTTCAGCTGGCCCCTAAACAAATATATATACTAGTTCAGTGATAATGAACGCCGTACTAAACTCCAAATTGTACACAAGAAACTAAAATTAAAAATAATACAAGACTAACAAAGGCTAGAGGCTCCTGACTTGGGACAGACGCAAAAATGCAGCGGGGTTAAACATGTTTATGAGATCTCAACCCTCCCCCTATACCTCTAGCCAATGTAGAAAAGTAAACTCATAACAATAAGCACATTAAAATTCAGTTCAAGAGAAGTCCGAGTCTGATGTCAGAAGATGTAACCAAAGAAAATAAACAAAATGACAATAATACATAAATAACAACAGACTACTAGCAGTTAACTGACATGCCAGCTCCAGACTTCAATTAAACTGATTGAAAGATTATGTCTTCATCATATGAATATCAGGCACAATCCTTCCCGTTAGGGGTTTAGTATCATACCATCATAACATATATGAGAAGAACATAACCCGTGTCATGCCAACAACTGGTTTTTAAATAAATGTGTTTAGTGCCGATGTAAAGACCCTATAAGTGAATCAATATTAACGCCAAAATATGCAATCTTTAATGACCTGACAACAGTATCGTAACTATATCCCTTCTTAATAAGTCTATTTAAAGGTTTTGTTAGCTTCAGAGGTGAATATTGACATTTTTGAAGGATATATACATGTATACCTGAAAAAAAAATAAGGAGCTTAAACACCAACATGACCAAAGGGGATTTAAAAGAATATCAAAATTCATCTAAGGTCAACTTTGCCTGCGGGAGTTTAAACCTCAGTTTCTTATATAATTAATAACAATAATATCTACATTTATCAACAGAGATATATAATACATGTATTATATGTATAACTCAAATCTTGATTATTTTTTAAATTTCAAATTGTTTAATTGTCAATCACAATTCTCTCAGAAGCATAGCATTAAGATATAGACAATGAAATTCACAAGAAACACATTATCATATATTGTACTTGTTTTGTACCTTTGAATATTGGGTCTAATTGCTGAACTGACAGACCAATAGATGAATAGATGGACACACAGGGAAATTGCATTATACTAACCACTCTGTGAGTGGGTGTATAACTCCAACTTTGTGAATTCAGGTGTAACACACTGTGAGTAGGGATATATTTTTTTCAAAACAATTTGAGAACAAGGAACCCATTCAAAACTTAAGATTTCTTTCAAATTTAGACAACTGCTTGTTTTATATTGATTAAATCACTAGAAAATATTCACGGTATGTCCTACTTTTAGCAACTGTAGCTTTCTAAACTAGCTTGCAGTAGCAAGCTCATTTTGACCCTGCTTTTTAAATTACATGCTGTCTATTATTTCCTCGTTCCAAAGTTATCAGTTATATACTGGTGGTAGCTGCACCAAGTAGGGTTTTAATTGGATGTTTTAGTTTTATAAAATATGGTCTAGCTACATTTTTTTGTATATGGGAGGTTGTGCTCACACAAAAACTGATGGTACTCCTCACCACATTTTGTACCTCTACCGAGTCAGGCTACAATGATCTGGACAATGTGTTGTTCGCTGTTGTTTGTCTGCCTATTTTTTGGAGAAGTTGTTGTTGATAATTGATTTGTTATTTTGTGAAACTGTGGTAAGATTCAAGTTGTATGCTATTGTTTGCTATAATTAATGGTAATCCACCTATTTTAGATTGAGGCCCTAGTCCTTGAATGAAAAAGTACATGTGCTTACTAAGACCAAATTGAAAATTGTTCTTTAGTGATTATTCTTAAGAAACCATTAAAACTTAACATTTTTTTATTAATATCATATCATACATTTGTCATACACATGATACATGTCATATATTGTAAAGTATTCAGTAGCACTGGCCCTGTGACATTCCTCCATTTTAATTTTCAACCACAGAGGGATCAATATAAAAGTGTGTTCAAATAAACAAATCTTGGACTGAAATTAGCCAGACACTTGGGGCTCCAGTAGGTCACAAGGTCATGTTTAAAAATTGCCTCAGGTCACAAAGTCACTTTTAAGCAAATTCAAGGAAGATGTTTTGAAAATTTTTAAAGATCACAAGTCAGATTTGATAATGTTGGACCCACACACTGGGACTGGTTCACTGGGCTGGTTCTGACAGATAACATTCAGTTATCAATGTAACTACTAGTGGAGTAGCTTACTTTTGAACATCAGTACATTATATACATATGTACATGTATTAAAGTGCAGGCCTTCATCCATGATGTCTCACGGGGTTATTTGCGGTCATAAAGCTCTACCGTTTTAAAACCAAACTTCAAATGAATTCTCTTCAGTAATAGTTTTTACTAGTAATTTTTGTTTTTTTTTGCTCATACAAGTACAAATCCGGTTGTAAGTCTAATTCGGTAGTTCGAATTCAAGGAAAAGTGGACAGGATTGTGGTAATGCCAATTGGAACATATCTGTCGACATCTGTGAAACAGATATTTCATAACAGTCAACCAACTCGTGATGGTCTCCGTAAAATTTTCTATGTTAGGTGGTATGTTTGTGTCAATCATTTTCATTATTATACTCTAAGCTTCTTATTAACCCAGATTGTTTGAATTTTGTTTCACATGAATGTGTAGAAATCATATCTAAGGAAACTGTTTTTTAACACAAACACTTTACTGATATAAAGAGTTATCTTCCTTAACACAGTACAGGTACATTTTTGTACATCCCCCTTAAAAATATTAATGAGTTACATGTGATCACAATTACTGATTTCATTCATATTACCTATGCCAATGTTAAATAAAAGTGATTAATGGGATATAAATTGATAAAAGATTAGTAACCATGGTAACTGAAACTTACATTCTGTGTTTTGTCTCCTCTGTCCTTGTACTTTGAGTATTCAATGGAGCAGATTAAGAAGAAGAGGAAGCCAAACCAAACTGATGTGGCAAGAAATATAATTATGAACGTTTCACTGCCATTCAAGCCTGGAAGTAGAAAATGAAACTTACGTAATTACGACCTCTTCCTCTTCTTTGGTACCCACGGTATTCTGAGCAACAAACAATACACATGATGAACACACACCAGGCAGAGGTAGCAGAGAGAACAACTAAGAACAGACTGCCACCAGTTAAACCTAGAATTATAAAGATGAAATAAAAAATGAGGATGAGATAAAAAGAGAAACTTTTACGAAAGGGGAAATAAAGATTGACCAAACATAAAGAAAGGAGCAAGGTATTTAATTTCGTACAGTGCAAAATGACATTTTGAGGAATAAAAGATGAACATAAAAAATTATTTAAATTGCAATGAATAAAACTATATATATATATGAGACATACAAGATTTAAATCAAATTAAAGCGAACAAAATAGATCTTGCTGGCATATATCATGTACATTGTATGTAAACATTTGCTATTACATGAAGGGACTAAATGAACCTCAATTTTTGAGTAAAATGATAAGGAGCCCCATTTAAAAGTCACAAGATGAGGTAAGATTAAGTTTTCCAATGGAAGTTTCTCAGAACCTCACCTTTTCTGTAGCCTCTATTACTGAGCATTCATTATTATTATACACAAAAATAAATGTATCCATAGAAGTCATAAACATGCATGGTTTAAAATGATTTCAATGGTTCAATTATTATTGTTCAAAAACTATGACCGTGCAGAAGGGAACAAAATAGCAAGAGAGCAATTCCCATTGCAATCACTGATCTTAATTGCAAAAAATGCCTGAATACAGATCATCCCTATGATACACAAAGATAATTAAGCATTCACACTAAGCACTCACATTCTTTCATACACATACAATTACATCACTTCCGAGATATGGTAGTTAGTTATATCAGTCATGTGACTTCCATCACCATGTGACCAAAATGTTGGCGTCCTCACTTCCAACGCATGTTGAGCGAATGGGTGAAAACGTTTGATGCTATACTGCACGAAATATTCCGGAAATTATAATCAAATTAGTTGGTCGTACAATGTCGTAAGGGAATTGAGATTACGTATCTTATGTAACATAAATTATTTCTAGACTTCTGTATATCCTGTCCAAAGTCAGGAGCCTGTAATTTAGTGGTTGTCGTTTGTTGCTGTATATCATATTTGTTTTTCGTTGATTATTTTGGACATAAATCAGGGCGTTAGTTTTCTCGTTTGAATTGTTTTACAATTGTCAATTCAGAACCTTTTATAGCTGACTATGCAGTATGGGTTTTATTGTTGAAGGCCGTACGGTGACCTATAGTTGTTAATTTCTGCACATTTTGGTCTCTTGTAGAGAGTTGTCTCATTGGCAATCATTCCACATCTTCTTATTTTTATACCCTGCAGAATTACAATCCTGAATTGCTTGAAACTTGAATAGTGCAGGGATACAAGGGTGCCTTCTATTTGGTAAATGACATCACAAGGGCCTGTGTAATTGATGATCTTTTCCGTTGAAAGACATGATTCGAGAAATAACCTATTAATCATGTTAATGGTGACCACTGTAATGGCTACAAAACTTTGATGAAATACTGTAATGACTGTGCATGCTATTTAATAATTAAATGATCTAATTTTACCATCATTTGTGTCTGTATCTGTACTATTGGAAGTCCCATTCATTGGTTCAATCACAATGTTTGACTAAAATCTGGTTTGTTTCATCATCATAACACCCTGAAAGTAGACGTTGACATTGAAATATAGCATGCAAAGTGTGTGAGGTATGTGTCCACAATTTGTTGGTAGAAACAATATTATTTTACCCATAATTCCATGTTTAACAGATACATTATCATCATGTCAGATCAATTTTGCTACACAATGTTATTCATCGGGATAGTGGTACCATCATACTCATGCATAGACATACGCTTCCTTTTATTTGTATGTTAGATATAATCTTACTTTCTTTTTACCAGGAATGGCAATTCTTTGAGAAATGTATACTCAACTTACTTTAAATAAATCAAATATTAACAGCAATAACTGTCCTTTCCTAGATTTAGATATTTCAGTTTTACATGAGAAACTCTACACAAAATTTACGACTAAAGGGATGATTTTTCTTTCTCTATTGTTAATTTTCCTTTTTTGGAAGGTGATGTTACTTTGGCACCGTCTTACAGTGTTTATATATCCTCATTCACTATGCCCGAAGTGATGTTTCCGATCCCGAAAATTTTGATACGATCCAGGTAAACTTATCAATCCTTTTAATAAACTTATTCTAAAAGGTTACAAATTCAACACTGTAACTTGATCTTCGAATATTGTTTTTATTGGTTTAAATATTGATTTTGTTATCAGTAAATTAAAACCATACTAAACATGCTAAATATTATTAATTGTTATTCACATATGCACATTCACAGTACTATCAACTGTAGATACCTATATCTTGTCATTGCACAATGTCATGTTCTTCTCTGCATGATTGTTAATGACGTCTTTAAACTAAATCCATTGGATGTTGGATGTGTACTGATTGATATTTCAGTCTAAGATACATGATATTTTTATTATTTGTAATTGGCTTTGAACTAGTTGTCAGAAACTGTGAGTACTCTTAGATCTGTACGCTGTTTTTGTTTTGTTTTTAGGGATGTACATGTATAAATCATGTAAATACCCTACCACGTCTGGTCTGTGTTTTTTTATTAGATGTTTTCTTGCTGTGTATAGATTTGATGAGTTTAGCACTTTTCAACTTACTTTCATAGTTTGTTCTTAAGTTGTACTGTTACAATACTGTCCCAGGTTAGGGGAGGGTTGGCACCTTCAAACAGGTTTAACCCAGCAGCATTCTGTGTGCCTGTCCAAATTCAGGAACCTGTAATTGAGTGGTCGTTGTTTTTTTGCTGTTTCTCTTATTCGTTTTTTCTTCTATTGTTTTGCAGTTTGTTCTTGTGTTTTGCTGTTACACCACTTTCCCAGGTTAGGGGGAGCCTGTAGTTCAGTGGTTCTCGTTGGTTTATGTCTGCCATACATGTATTTGTCTTTCATAAATTGTTTCATTATAAATTAGGCCGTTAGTTTTCTCAATTGAATTGTTTCATATTTTTCATGTCAGGGTCTTTTATAGCCTACTATATGGTATGGGGTTTTCTCATTGTTGAAGGGCATACAGTTGCCTATAATTGCTTACATCCCCTTCATTTAACTTGGATGGATAGTTGTCTCATTGGCAATCATACCACATCTCCTTAATTTTATATCAACTACTCATTTCAGATACTCATGAGTACTTAAATACTCAGATAATACATGTAATATCGGAAATAACAGTTTCAGGCATAAGAATTTTTTGATATTGTGATTGTCTTTGATTACCTTATATTTTCGAAGAAAAATGTGGGTTAAACCTGGTTTTATAGCTAGCTAAACCTCCCACTTGTTTGACAGTTGTTTAAAAGTTCTGTTATATTGACAAAAATTGGGTGAGCAACCCAAACAGACATAAAAGGTTAATGTGGCAATAATTGGGATCCAGCGACAGGCCAAAACTGTATAAACATACATCTCAACTGACTAAAAAATTCAAAGAAACATACAAATAAATCTAACAAAGACGCCAACAAAAATTTTTTTGTAGTTGATAGTAAATTGACAAAGACACTGATAAATGTTTTTGTAGATGGTAGTACATTTTGTATATAGTATTAACATAAAAGACAACATCAAAATCACTTAAATAGAAGATTACTGTAATCAACAAATCACTTTAATAATTGTTAACACATGACATCTGTGGCAAAATTTCTTTGTTCTTACTGTGCTATAATCTGGATAATGCACAGCTACGGTGTGCAATAACTACCTCAGATATACTGCACACTTCGAAAATACTTTTATCTTTCAGGACTGATCCAGGATTTTTCAAAGACATAGGGGCGTAATTCCATAAAAAAGTTTGATGATTTTAGGATTAAACATTATATATTTTCCAATCAAAGGGGTGGGGGCGTATGCCCTTTTCCCCCCTTTGAATCTGCCACTGACCTGGCAATTACGGCATACTTGATCAATTAACAACTTTCTTAATACTTTGTCCTTTCAAATTATAGATAGTGATTCTCATTCCTTAGAAGACTTTATGATATTATGTGTATAATTCAAATCTTGTGGACATCAGTGTTTAAAAAACAATGCAAGATAAAAAAAAAATTTGTAATTTCTTAAAATATCCAAATAGTTAAAACTTGACTTGCAACTTTTTAAATATTAATTCCTTTTAAGTGACCATTTTGGGATCGAATTTAATGAGGTTTATATTCAAGTATGTGCCAAAACAGAAAAATCAGACTTCGTTTAGATGGAACATGTCTTCAGATAAATTATAGAGGAGGGGGGAGTTAATGATTGAAAAGTGAAAAGATTTTTGTTTTGTTTACTTTGCACAATAAATTTAAGTACATTTCTCTTCCATTAATATTCCTCTGAGCATATTCTTGAGGGAATGAAAAGCAGTTAATCTATACTCAATAACCCTTTCATTTATGATTTGTCAAATTGTCATACACCGATTTCAAAGTACATCAAACAGAACTAAAACTGTAGACGATGTGGATCATTCGCCAATAAGACAGCAATCAAACGACAAAACCCACCTAAACACATCTAGAGAGCAACATATAGTGTTCAACAATAGACAGGTGTCTAAACAACATGTCAAGTTCTAAATCATTTATGACGGTTCAAAAGTTCACTCAGAGCTTATGTTGTATTTTTATTTATCTTGCCGACTTAAAAGAAAACCTATTTGATTTGATTTGATTGTCACAAATTTATATAAAAATTGTGAATAAAAAACAGAAACATGCAATCAAAGACCACCCATTAAAACACAATTCTCCAAATACTGTAACAATTTAGGAGAAAGCCTAAATGTAAAAAAAGTTATAATTTAAAAGTTACCAACCTTTTACCATGTTTACTACTTTAACACCAATTTTCCCCATCTTTGCTCTACAAGAAAACTTACCCAGGACTCAGGAGCAGTGGATTGAATATATCGACCAAATATTTCCAAAACGTTCAGGTAAATTGATGGCGTCATGTGTTAAAACAGTTGTTGATCAATCATATCAGTCTACATTTATATCATTTAATCTGCACAGTCAGGATCACCCATTAACCTGAACTCATATGTTGTTCGAGTCAAGTAGGGTCACATGAGCCGAGCAGATTAAATGACATATACCGACTTGCTAGGTCAGTCAGGGGACTTACTTAAATGAGTGATTTTCTAAATCACTGATTCAAGTATCATTATGTCCATAAAGGTTGGAAGTAAGAGTTGTCTTTCTTTAATAATCACCTATTTAAATAGTACAAATCAATCACTAGACTAAGTGATTTAATTTTATTGTAACTTTAAATATAGAATACTAATGATCCAGGGACCAATTATGTTGCTAAAATTATCAGAACCAACACCTGTGTTGATAGGATGACCCGGTCATGTCAGGTGATGACCTTGTACTAAATCTAGGACAATGACATAAAAATCACTTGTTTAAGTATCATACCTCAATTTCCTTCCAAAAAATCACTTCTTTAAGTATCATTATTTTAATAACCCCCTCTAATTTCAACACCCCCGAACAGTGAAATTTTGATCGCGAACAGTAGAATTTTATTACATAATCTATAAGATGAAACCTTGAATTTTACAGGAAAAATACTCCCACTGCTGGGAAAAATCTGTTAAGAAAGTATCAGTTCATTATGTCAAGCCATTTTTACAGCATTTTTTCAACTAAAATAGAATTTGCAGCTAAATGATTGCATCAAAGGCATAAACCTTGCTGCTTAAAAGAAGCAAAAAGTTAATGTTTTTCAATTTTTACTAATGAAAAGATATTATCTAAACCTATGTGTTTAAAATTTTGGTAAAACTACAAAATCACAATTTGTGACAAAACTTCGTATTTGCTACTTAAATAAGTGATTTAAAAATCACTTATTTCAATAAGTCCCCTGACTGTAGGTAAGTACAAGTAACTACCGGTATAACATAATAAAATCATTTGTTTAAGTCATACCCCTGACTGTCTGAAGGGACTATTTCACTAGTACAATTAAAAGACAATTAACAGTCATAATGTGATACATTGTACATGATCTTGGTGTGTATTTTGTGACTTTACATGCTGTTTAAGTCATTCTGACATACATGTTGGGTATATTTAACAATGCTGTAAATTCAGATATTATTGCAAGATTTTTATTAATGTGAATAAAGGGATTGGGTGTGCAAAAATCATGAAAATTATAATATTAGTAATACCAGCCAAAATTCCATCCAGTAAGCCACTGCTCTACCAACTAAGCTTAAGGAGTACTACACTTGTAATATTAGTAAGACCACAAATGGAATATGCCATGACAGTATGGGATCTGTAACAGCATGAACAGCAAAACCACATAGATAAAATTGAAAAAGTACAAAGACGAGCTGCACGATATGAAACCAGCAGTACCAGCAACATTATAATTGATTAACTGAATTACAATGTAGGACGGAAAAGCCTACAAACAAGACGAAAAGAAGCTTGACCCATCATGTGTTACAAAATAACAAATGACCTTGTAGCCATAGACAAGTTTTTCATAGGCAGATCCAGGTGGGCCTGGCAACCCTTTAATGGGAAAAATTTGGTTGATTATATAGGGAATCACTGAAGAATGACTGCGGCAGGCCCCCTCTTATGGCAGTTAGTGGCATGGGCCCCCCTTATAAAAAATTCTGTATCCGCAACTGTAAATACCTACAAAAACCAACAAGAAGCTCTAGTCGGACAGGACATCATACTTACCGTTTACAGCCAGCCACCAAAGATTGTAGCAAAGAATCTTTCTTCATAAACACCATCAAGGATTGGAACAAACTGCCTCCAGATACAAAATGTATCGCCGCAGCAAAGCCACGAGATATTAAGTCTCAAGTGACCAAAACTTCTAACTAAATCAACTCAGCGATTTGTTTTAACCAGTTTTTAATCATGCACAACTTCCCAGAATATTCATCATGTTGAATGTGTGCAGTATTTGGAAGAAGAGCTCCGGACCTGTACTGGCTGTAGATTCAAAAAGTTTATCCTGAAGACTGAAACTGCTCACTAATTGTAATTTTACATACCAAAAATTTCATTTGAAATAAAATATAACCCTCGCCTTACATTACAAAACGAGCAATTCTGGGTCTTATCGGAATGTAAATTAAATGTACACTGTAAGTGAAATGTAAAAACGACTCTTACCTGCTTAGAATCGACGAGTTTCGGCTTCATTGACCAATCGATTCTTATTCTTATTTAAGAAAAGGGTATCTCTCAATGTTTAATCAGAAAAGTAATAATACAGTTAAAAATAACATTGTACGATCCCTGCCTCTTTTGTTGTGTCTGGTCTGCTTCCTAATTTGAGGGATATAATGAGAGGTGGGGGAGAGAAGCGATTTTAATTGTTTTTTTTAGAAACCATTGACGGATATGGAAAAATATATCCGTATTTGGTTTTGATGTCGTCAAAAATTTTTAAAAGGTTCGTTTACCAGAATTAGATTTGAATATCTAGATGTCGGAAGTAGTAATTACAAAATCTTACCACAACGTCCTCTGATCGATCGGAATCGCCCATGATCGATGTCCAACATCATTTAATCCTATATTCTGAGTCTGAGAAGGAACAACAAAGTAGGCAAGCCAACATCTCGTCCCAACTAAAAAAAAAATGCAGGACAAAATTTTTTTATCCCAGCCAGGATGAAAAATTTTGTCCTGCATTTTTTAGTTGTAATCTCTGTCCTGCCTTTTTATTTTTCACTCCATTCGGTCCTGCCTTTTTTTATTAGTTTATCCTGACTTTTTTTACATGATAAATTGTCATCCTGCTTTTTTTTGCCAAGTTGCTCATCCTGCCTTTTTTTTACTCAAAACTCCTGTCTTGCCTTTTTTTTCAAATTTCATCCTAGCCCCCCCCCCCCCCCCCCCCCATAAAAATCAAATGGTAGCTCCCTTATCATGCTTTGCACGGGGAAAACAATTTTGTCCAGACTGAGTATAGAACTAGATTATGATTGACAAAGGGAAGTAACTTGTTTAAAAAGTGTGTAATAACAGAATCAAATCGATAATTGGCAAATGGACTATTAAGATTGGTCGAGCGCACCTACCACGTGCGGGATTCGAACTCACAACCTCAGTGTTGACAGGCTCGTGATACAGTAGTTCGACTCCTATGACCACTCGGCCACCGAGTCACCAAAATAAAAGGACAAACATCAGTAAATGGCAATAAGACACCCACGTGTACATGCATATTAATATTTTAGTGAAAGAGGTTAATTGATTATTCACTCGATCTTTCATATATAAACAAATGCCATTTGGCTTTACGACCAAAAGATAACAACCCAGTCGACAAAAATAACCGAACTACATCTAGAGGCCAATTTACAGTCTCAAACAGAATAAAGAAGCACAGTCAATTGTTGAAAAAGAGAGGCGAAAGATACCAAAAAGGGTGGGCGAATGGTTTGTTTTTCATGAACCAATGGTTATCCATTGTGTTTCTAACTTAAACTATTGTGTTTATGTCTTTTCACAATTAAAGCCTTTTCTTAATTAGAAGGTATTGTAATTGAGTTTGAATAACCCTGTTATCATGTTCAACGATGCATTAATAAAACAAAGTTCACAATTAATTGGTTAGAGCAGAGACATATTAGGGAAATACAAATATAACATAACACGCCTGTTTTCAAAATAATTATTATGCATTTGAAAATTATCCGTAATTTACCAAATAAGACATATTCGAACCTATTTCTAAGTATATATAGTAAGTATGTTACCGAAATTTCTAGCAAGAAACCTAGTTCTATGAACATCACGATTTACTCGCATAGGGATTTGCGAATAAACATTTGTAAAGATATTAATAGTAACAACAAAAGTGCACACGCTGACATGTCTCGCCTGCTTTACTGACCATTGACCATTGATTTTAAGTTGATAGTCCTAAATATAAAGTTTTACTACAAGAATCACATAAATTTAACATGATCAAAGACAATGAATTGAAGGTCAGATAAACAAAGCCAGAAATACATGTACACATTAAAATCATTCCATACACCAAATATAGTTTACCTATTGCTTATAGTATACAAGAAACAGACAAAACCATGAAAACTTTATATTGAGCAAAGAACCATGAAAATGAGGTCAAGGTCAGATGAACCCTGTCAGACAGACATGTACATCTTACAATCATTATATGCTTTAAATATAGTTGACCTATTGCACATAGTATCTAAGAAACAAACTTAACCAGGAAAACTTAACATTGATCAATGAAGCATGAAAATGAGGTCAAGGTCAGATGAACCCTGCCAGACAGACATATACACCTTACAATCATTGCATGCTTTAAATATAGTTGACCTATTGCATATAGTATCTAAGAAACAAACTTAACCAGGAAAACTTAACATTGATCAATAAACCATGAAAATGAGGTCAAGGTCAGATGATAAATGTCAGCTAGACATATACACCTTACAATCATTCGATACACCAAATAAATGACCTATTGCTCATAGTTTAAGAAAAACAGACCAAAACACAAAAACTTATCATTGAGCAATGAACCGTAAAAATGAGGTCAAGGTCAAATAAAACCTGCCAGACTGACATGTACATCATAAAATGTTTTCATACACCAAATATAGTTGACCTATTGCATACAGTATTAGAAAAATAAAGGCAACAGTAGTATGCCGCTGTTCGAAATTCATAAATCGATTGAGAAAAAAACAAATCCGGGTTACAAACTAAAACTGAGGGAAACACATTAAATATAAGAGGAGAACTACGACACAACAGAAACACAACATTAAAATGTAACACACACAGAAACGAACTATAATATAACAATGGCCAAAACACAAAAACATAACTTTAACCACTGAACCATGAAAATGAGGTCAAGATCAGATGACACTTGTTAGTTGGACATGTACACCTTACAATCATTTCATACACCAAATATAGTAGACTTCTTGCTTATAGTATCTGAGATATGGACTTGACCACGAAAACTAAACCTTGTTCACTGATCCATGAAATGATGTCGAGGTCAAGTGAAAACTGTCTGACGGGCATGAAGACCTTGTTAGGTACGCACATACCACATATAGTATCCTATTACTCATAATAAGCGAGAAATTAAGATAACTAAACATCTTAACTTTTTTTTCAAGTAGTCATTGAACCATGACAATGAGGTCAAAGACAATGGACATATGACTGACAGAAACTTCATAACATGAGGCATCTATATACAAAGTATGAAGGATCAAAGTCCTCTACCTTCTGAAATATTAAGCTTTTAAGAAGTTTGTCAACGCCGTTGCCGCCGCCGCCGGATCACTATCCTTATGTCTCGCTTTCTGCGACAGAAGTCGCAGGCTCGACAAAAATCAATGGCCAAATTTTTAGCGATGCATTCTGGATAGAGATAATTTATGTATAACACCCTGCGATTAATTAACGCACTGTCGCGTTGAGAGATAGACCATAAATGTGATATTAATAATTGATGGTGATTGTTACACAACGTTTATAATGGCTGATGATTATGAGTATCTGAAAAAGTTTTAGATTTCACCATCATGTATTATATATCCTCACTCTGCATTTTATTGCTTTAGATTTTAATTCTCTGACTAAGATTACTTCCCCTATTTCCTATAGTTTTACCTGTTGTTTTATCTGCATTTGATATGTAAATAGAAATAAAAAATGTCTCGCCATATTGCCATGCTCCAGAATGATCGCAGACAAAAACGTCCGTGAATTAAGACTAAAGCCCCCTTAATTCACAATCTCAGGGAAATTGACATATGCATGCTAATATGCACATGTGTAGATTTGACTATATGTATAAATGGAAATATAAAATGCGTTTACGTGGATTTTATACCAGAGGTGTATTTGCATGATGTACACATTGACTATACAAAGAATTGATATTTTTTTAAAGATTGAATATCATACTGGACTCGTGTGATATCTGATATTGAAAGTGGAGAGCATTTTCAAAATTATAGAAGACAACATAATGATGTGATTCACTTTAATATAGCAACAATCAGCGGGCAAGGTCATAGTAACTAACTATTATAGATTAATTTGTTAATCTCCTAGAAAAAGATTTGTGGCTTAGGGGTCGCTGTTTAATATCATGGTGGGATAACATTTTTTTAGAATAAAATCTGTTTCCAAATAATCGCTGCAAGTAATATAACTGAAAAATTGGAGACTGACCAGATCTCACATCTAGTATCCATTGGCATACATACCAGTATCAACTATGCATTAAAAAAATAAAAAATCCGAACGTCTGGCATCTCGATCTCCCCCTTAGGACCTTATGCACGCACTACGTTCAATCAAGTACATCATGTACTTAAGAAAATATGCATTTGATACATTTACTCGCTCTCCCAAATGGAAAGTACTAGAATATTGTCATAAATGTAGCTGTAAACAATAAATTGATAGATAATCATTAGAGACCTTAAACTCTTAACAATGGCAAATATTACATCAATGAAACATTTCATAATTAAGTTGAATGCATATGCCAGTAAAAGAAAATACGACTAAGTCTCCCTCTCTATCATGTCCAATCTCTCATACTTCACACTCGCAAAAAAATAAATAAAAATGAAACATATGAAAAGCTCCAGAAATGACAATATCAACCAGGTTTTATCACATCGCTACTGCCAATCCACAATCAAATCAGTCCAACTGTGTACAGAAATTTGATGTATTAACAGTACGCACGTACCAGATATATATAATTCATAAAAAAAATACTTGAGACAGAATTGAATTCATAATTAAAAGTTTGAAATTAGAGTCCGTGTTCTTTGTAACTGGGTATTGTACGACGAGATAAATCGCACACGTACAGTCTGGCGTCTGTGTAGTAGAATTTCTTAATCGTTCAAAACTGTTACCCTTTTTTCCTGCTAAATACACATTACAAATATAATATATAGGTCAGGCGATTAGTTCCTAAAGATAAGTCCAATTACTAAGCAATAATTTTCGAAGTAAGATGATAAGGACGTCACATTACACATGACTTTTTTGTTACAGTTTTCTGCACACATAAACACACACAGCTGTAGTTCTTGATGTCCAACCACAATGCGGTTAAACGTTTGTTTGTTTGTGTAGATTATCTATCGAGTCCAAATGTCAGAAACATTAAAGATCAGATGACAAATAAGCAATAGACCTTTTTCATATTACCGACTTTTGACCTCGGAGTTTAATTATATTTTTTCGACAGGTTACCTACTCTGTGGTAAGACATCCTGGTATTCGGTCAAGTAAGAGCAACTTAAAATAGT